AGCACTCAGAGCACATCAGATGTTTCCTGCAGCCCCCTGAACCCGAGCTGCAAAAAGAAAGGGCGCTAATTTATGACACTGGCAGCAGTGACACTAAAAAATAATCTCACCCCGTTACTTGGCATCACCGGTCTCAAGGTCTCGGGCTGTGACTGGGAGACAAGAAAGCACAGGGGACAGCTCTCAGGACATGAGATGGTGCCCATGCCCTTGGTTGTAGGCTGGTACATCTGAAGACCAGGAGATGCCACTGAGTGGAAGAAGGGAAAGAAGTTTCCAAGTAGGGAGTCACGGGCACATTTCTTGTTTCTCCCTTTCTCCGGCAATAAGGGAAGCGGAACCACCCTTTGCAGTCTTGGTGATTTCTTGTTAAGTACATATATAAATACCAGAGTGTTGAAAGCACATTCTTAATAAAATTATTAATAACTCAGGGTCAGGATGGGAGGAGCCATCTGATGTGGGATGGCAAGGGTGTGACTCTGTGTGTTCCCTATTTCTATGACCAAAGGCTGGCATGCAAAGTGACAGTAACCAGCTCTGGCTGAAGGAGATGGACTCATATGCTTCCTAGGTCACCGACAGGTACCAACCAGTTGAGGACGTGAATGTCCAGGTATTTGAGCTTGGCAAGTCCTAGACATAGCACATGTTACTCTCCTGGAGGTTAAGGATTTCTTTGAAACAAATAAACAAAAAAGCACCAATAAAAACAGACTCCTTGAGTGTGTGCATGTGTGCGCCCAATTCCATCAACCGAATTCACCTGTGAATAAATAATAGGTTTTCTGCCAAGACAGAAATGAGAGTTATTGCTCAGTAGACTAAAAAGCCACAAGCTGGAGTTTTTCCTCAGGGAAAAGTGCAAATACCAACGTTTAAGGTTGGGGCTCTCAGAAATATGCCAGACTGTCGGCAGCTTTGGCAGAGTATGTGATAGGAGCGTGGTGATCTGCCAGCAACCCATCAGAGTATCTTTCTTGGAGAAGCAGCCTTGCCTAGCAAGGGGAGGAGCCTTCGGGAAACGTGCAGGTCTTCCCTGTACACAGGACTGGCTGTAGCAACAGCACGCTTGCCCGGGTGTGCAGCTAGGTCAGGGCAAGGTCCCCAGTTCTCAGGCTCACATTCTGACTAGCTATTCTTACTGTGCAGACCTGTCCTAATTTGTTTTCTATTGCTGTGATAAATACCATGGCCAAAAGCAACTTGGGAGGAAAGGGTTTATATCGCCATACAGCTGGCTGTCCATCATCCTGGGAAGTCTGGACAGGAACTCAAGGTAGGTATCAGGAGGCAGGAACAGAAGCAAAAACAGTGGAGGAATGTTGTCTGCTTTCTTGCTTGCTCTCCATGACTTGCTCAGTTTATTTTCTTATAGACTCAGAACCATGTGTCCAGGGCTTGAAAGTACAGCCATAATGAGCTAGGTCCTCCTACATTCATCAGGAAAATGCCCCACAGAATTGCTTCCAGCATAATCTGATGGAGGGATTTTCTTAAATGAGGTTCTTTCTTCCCAGATGACCTCATCTTGTGTGAAGCTGACGAAAAGTAACTAGCACAGTAGCCCAAGGACCAAGTTGATCCCCCAGGAGTTCTGACAATGGGAGAGATAGCTTGGCCAGGAGACAAAATCAATCTTTAAGAAAGCCAGTGTTTCCTCCTCGATAATTAGGAAAGTGGAGGCTGATTTGTACATTAATGTGAGTGAGTCTGGTTCCTCGGACTGTGTTCTGGGTGGGTGGACAAGCTTGAGTATTTACTGTGCAAGGGTGTTTGCACACAGGGATGAGTCCCCTTAGAGACCTGTCAGTTTCTTCCTTAGCATTTCCCCTACACCTAATCTTCACTTGGCAGAGGCACACTACTGTGTAGTGCAGGAGACACAATACTAAAGTACCAGTGTTGGCAGCAAGCTCCCAGAGAGCAGGCAGGTCCCTAAGCCCTCACTTCCCTCACAGTCACTCAATTCTTGTCTCTCCTAGTCTCCCCCCAACTCCAGTCTGCCTGCTGGTGTTGGGTTCTCATCACCATTAGCATGACCTGGCTTAGAGTGCTGCCTTCTCTCACCTGGATAGTGGTCATGGCTGCCTCCTATGGGCCTCCAATCCATTCTCGACAACACCAGAGTGTGAAATGAAATTCTCTAGACCGAGTGACAGATGGCAGAGAGGCAGAATGCTGTAGATCCAGAGCTAACATCATCTTGGGCTCTTTGGTCCCCACAGTAGCCATTTATCACCCACCTCTATATCTGACATCATTCTATCAGGCAAAACATCTAGATTAACTTGACTTAGTACATCAGTAGCTTCCATCAAACTCAAAGCTAAGCGCATCACTGGGTACCATCTGAGACCTACAGCAGTGACCTCCCCACTTTACTGAAACCTGCACATCTGGTGTCACTGCTAATGGGTCTGCTATATGCACTAATTTGACTTTCATTTTTTAACTATAAAAAAAAATCACGAATGTAACTGACTTCATGATGGAACATGTAATTCAGGACAACCGGAACCTGTCCTCCAGTCACAGACACTCTAATGTGGCTCAGAACACACCATTTCACATTTCATCTGTGTGGACACTAGAGTGCCTTCCATGTGCACACAGATCACACACCTGCCTTTTCAGCACCATTCAGTGAGTTCCTGCCAGGTCCAGGGGGTCAGTCGATAGCCCTTAGCTCCTTGTGATGTTCTTGGCTCAGGGTTAAGCCACAGAAGGTGGTAAGGAAAGGCCAGTGAAAAGTGATGGTAGTGGGACCTCTGCAAGTGACAATGACTGCTACTATAGGCTGATTGCTTTTAAAATAAAAAAAAAGTGAAACCCACAATGTTCCCAAATCCAACATTGAACACTGATCTTTTCCACAAATGGAAAAATCTCACACTTGATATATCAGGCAAAAAGCAACAGTAAAAATACAGATGTGCTGACACTGTATAAAAAAAAGTCAGCATGTCAGGTCTACATGCTCAAGGCACATATGAAGCAAATGTATTTTAGATTTATGGAGGACTCTGTCCCTAAGATAACTCATGACGCTCATGAAAATGTTCTAATCAGTAATCCAGCCCAAATCCTAACCAGTTCTAGTTCCTAGCATTTCAGGTAAGGGAGTAGAGCCTACACCAGCACCGGACTGGCCAGGCCAGTCCTTTCACAGCCTGGTCTGCGGTTGCTCGCCACTGCCTGTGCTCTGTCACTCTCTAGTCACTGGGGCTGGCTTGTGGCTCCAGAGTTCTCACACCCTCAGTTTTACTCACCTGTGCAGCCTCAGCCTCGGTTCTCATTCCTTCCCATCACAGTGACTCTGTGACTTAGATGTCAGGTCTCAAAGGAGGCTGCACTGTTTTCAAGATGCCCTCCCTTAAACAGGAACAGTGTTTCTACTGCATGCAGTGAGGGGCAGCTGCACTGTTCTATCCTGATGTGGAATCATCTTTTTGTACACTGTAAAGATGTGTCATTCTGATCGGTTTAATAAAAAGCTGAATGACCCATACATAGCTAGTCAGGATTTCCTGGCACATGGTATGCTGGGAAGAACAAAGAGGGAGCTGCCAGCTAGACAGAGGAAGCAGTATAGACAGAACGGAGTAAAGGTAATAAAGCCACGAGACAAAAAAAAGCAGATTGGTAAAAATGGGCTAATTTAAGTTGTAAGAGCTAGTTAGTAACAAGCCTAAGCTATTGGCTTGGCTTTTATAATTAATAATAAGTATTCATGTCATTATTGGGGAGCTGGTGTTCCCAACAAATGGTTGTACTACCTCACTGCTTGGCAATTTCTATTCCAGCTTACTGTCCTGGGGCCCAGCTGGGATGAAGACAGATGCCATCATATCAATGAGGGAATGAGGTGAATTGTTTCCCTTTGTGGATAGTGATGCTAAGTTACAGGCTGTAATGGACCTGCACTTGCAGAAAACCAGCCAGAGAACTTCACTGGTCCATGACCCACCTAATCTTACAAGCCAAAGTCCCCACATATATGTATAGTCCCATGTCTCATCTTCAGCATCTTGTACAAGTACTAGACTAGGTTTGGTCATAAAGACAAAGTGCTCAGGCTTCTAGTCTAACCACATCAATGCCATCCTTGGGCAGGGAGATTCCAAACAAAAGCAACAGGACTGCTGCTACTCAGGAACTTACCTGGAGTAGGTGCAAGTTTCAAGTTTGAGCCTTCAGAGAGTGAAATACTTCCTTTTCTAAGTTTAGAAAGTGTAGGAATGGTGATTGTTAGCATCAGATGTGGTTACATGGTGAGATGTAGGCAGGAAGGGACATCAGGCTACAAGTGGTATTGGCTCAGGTGGACTTGGTTTCTGGCCAAAGAACCTGGTTTCCTGCTGTGCTTTCTTACCCTGATGTATGCATGACAGTTCTCCTCAGACTGTGAGGGGACCTGGCTTGTGCTGTACCATTTTCCCTACAGTCTCACAGTGGGTTTGGGAGACATGTCCACGGCTCCTGAAATCACCTGCCTCTCCTTTACATTAATCCTCACCAGATTTAGACTAGGAAAATTTTGTAGCTGGCCTTAAATTGCTCTGTAAGAGGGTTTTGAGTTCTTTCATATTAAGAACTGAAAGTGGATTTGGAATGAGTTTGTGGCCTACTTGGACAGTGTATCCCTGTGGTACATGAACTAACCCCAGAGAGAGCAAAATACTCAATCTTCATTCTGCAGGGAAAGTTTCACTTCTGTGTCTGAATTTCTTTACACCCACAAATGAAGTTTTCTTTTTGTTGCTAGGGATAAGATAGAAGGTATGGGTTTTACTCTGAGCTACACCTCCAGCCCCAGCAATCCCAAGACATTCTTATTTCTCTTTCAGTCATCTGACAGTATGTTATATGTCCTTACTAACACGTGCTGTCTGCCTTCTGGAAGGAAACATGTCTTCTGAGCCAAGACCAGGTGCATTGTGATCCTGCACAGAGAAGCACACGTGATCTTCACATGTCACATAAGAATACACTGCACATGATGTTAGACTTGGTTGACTTGCCCTTTATTAATGAAAGTGAGTAGTGTTTGGTAATTCAACAACCGTGGATAAAACACAGACTGAGAGACATGTCTTGAGCTGGAGAACCTAACAGGAGGGCAGAGTTTGCACTACACTTTCTCCAGGTGCCAGCTTTCCATGCTGGGTAGTGTTCAAGAGAAGCAGTTACTATTATGAAACAGAACACAGTGGTGTGAAGGAGCTCTTGAGATTCTTCTACGAGCATCCGTCAGGTGGAAGGGTTACCACAGCAGTGGAGTTAAGGCAAAGATATTTTCTCTTGTTACAAAATCTCCATAGTTCTGAATGTATTCCAACATGATTATACATGCATTCAATTTAAAGTGAAAAACAAACATGTTTACAAATTCCTACTGGACACTTAAAAATAAACTCTACGTCACTTTTCGTTTTGGCAGCACCAGCCTGAACTTTGCAATATTTCAGAAACGTCAGGTACATTACAGTCTTCTGAGAAAGGCCCAGTACTTCAGAATTCCCGGGGCGGCTGTGGAGAAAGAACGTTACTGGCAACAAGGTTAAGACAGCTGAGAACCTACGGAAATATATGCAGCTGCTCACACACGTATACACACAAGCAGCTGCCCACACACATGTACACACAAGCAGCTGCTCACACACGTGTACACACAAGCAGCTGCTCACACACGTGTACACACAAGCAGCTGCCCACACACATGTACACACAAGCAGCTGCTCACACACGTGTACACACAAGCAGCTGCTCACACACGTATACACACAAGCAGCTGCCCACACACATGTACACACAAGCAGCTGCTCACACACGTGTACACACAAGCAGCTGCTCACACACGTATACACACAAGCAGCTGCCCACACACTTGTACACACAAGCAGTTGCTCACACACGTGTACATACAATTAGGTTTCACTTTACTGCCCTACTGCTCTGCACCCGACTTTCTCTCTCCAGTGCCAGGGCCTCGCGTCTACTCTGTAGCTCTCCTACCAGCTTTCCTGGCTTCTTTTAAAAAGCAGATTGTTTTAGTTGGAGACGGTGAGTTCATGGACACCTTTCTCACTACAGCCACAGGGCCTGCACACACAGAGTTGGCAATCTCACTTTCCCTAGGCCTCCAAAAGCTTAAATCTGACATACTCAAACACACAGGAGGGCGGCACTTCTTGTTCAGAGCCTTCTTTAGTGATGGGATTCAGAGAAAGCTGGTGGCAGCATCTTTTTAGGGGGAAATAAGTGTATTGTTTCATTCATATGGCTCTGCATGCTTAAGAAATGTGAGTTGGCATAAAGGAGTGGACTGTGCAAAGCTTTCTGGGGTGCCTGCTGCCACAAACTTCAAGTTGAGGATTCTCATGGCCAGAATCTGGGGTTTGACCCAGAAAACCTCATGGAAGCCCAAATTGAAAAATTTTAATGGCTCAATCACATAAATGTCTTTCTCTTTGGTTTCAAAAGCAAAAGCAGTATGACTAACGTTTTCATCTATGAAGCAGAATTGACAGGGATATCAAAGAAATCCTAGCCTTATGGAAGGGAGAGAAATAAATCTAACGAGGTAGCTGAGGTCAAAGATTAAGTCCACAGCCTACACCAATGAGCTCAGTAAATACTCAGGCATTTTAAAACACAAACTGCTATGGTGTCTGATAACTGTGATTTCTTTCCAACTCCTGCAGGTACATGCAAACCTGAGACTGGGTCCCTGCAGCATGAGGCCAGCTAGAGGCTGGAGTGTGTAAGAGCAAACAGGAAGCAGGCCAGACCTCTGGTGCATGGCTACACAGTTCAGGTCCTCCTTGTTTCCATGGAGTTCAAATGATGCTGGTCCTGCACAGAGCAGGCACCAAGTGGGACTCAGAGCTATGACTGGATGGCAAGTGGAGTATGATTTGAGGCAGCAGGAGCGCTATGGTCTGATAGATTAGCAAGCCCAATGTAATTCTCAGAAGTCCCGTCCTGTTTCTACACACAAAATTTTTGTTGGGATTATGTCACCCTTCTGCTGGAAGGGCCAGTCCCTTCCTCCTCAGCATCATCTCAGGTTCTAGTACACTACAGTTTCCAGATGCTCATGCCCTGAGTTCTCACTGCTCACAGGTACAGGCTATTACTTGGTGAGTAGCTTTTCAGAGGCCAACTCCAAATGACTTCAACGTGGCCATTCCAATCCTGGCAGCAGGGGATTTATAACTTTCAGCACCACAAACACTCAGTTCTCACATGCCAAGACACATTTACATGTATACTCTTTCACAATGCATACATCTGTAGGCATATAGGCACACATGCATGCACATACACACTCTTGCACACATACAATAAATACACAGCAGTCTAGCAGCATCCCAGGCACAGCAAGCTCGGAGAGGCCAAGATTGGGTGAAGATGGGTAGAGTGAAAAGGCCTTGAGCAGGGCAGGTTAGGGATGCTGGGGAAGGAGCCCTGAGTGGTCCACCTTGCTGTGACCTCCTTCTGTAGTCCTCAGAGGCAGTAGCCAGCACATCAGGCAACCCAGAAGACCCGTAGCAGCAAGGAAACATCAGATTTCTCTGTTAGGTCTCTGTCGTGTAGTTATTGTAGGTCAGAGGAGACAGGGCTGAAAAGCTGCTCCACCGCCTGGTGCTAGGCTGGGGCTCCATGCGCCCTTGCTCTTTATATTTACCCAGAATACTTTTGGCTTCTTCTGCATCCCGCAATGGGTTGTCTCCATATTCTTCTTTCAGCCACTGTCGATACTGGAAAAGTTGTAAACAAATCCCAAATGTCTCTCTCTCTCTCTCTCTCTCTCTCTCTCTCTCTCTCTCTCTCTCTCTCTCTCTCTCTCTCTCTCACACACACACACACACACTCACTCACAGTAGCTTTCACGTAAGAAATGGTAAAGTTTCCATGTATCAGCATGGAAATAAAAGGGCATCAGGCTATCACAGCTTTGTGGTTGACAGCCAATGACAAGCAAAAGAAAGAGGTGTTCCTTCAACAATATGGGTTCAAGACTTGAACATCTGCTGAACTATCCATCTACTTTGTAAACCTGAAACAGTTACTGTCTGTAGAAAAGGGGTCTAAAATGGATGCAAGAAAAATGTGTTCTCGTGCCATCTGCCTGTGACAGCCAGGACTGATGAAAAGAATTCAGGGAGAATTTTTGAGTTGGATACTTGAGTTGCCATAATTAATATAGGAAATAACCCCTTCCACTGTCATCTGGTTGACTGTAATAGCTTAAAGGCTGAGATATGAAAAAGAAAAATAAGAAGAAAGTAGGCCAAACCAGAAAATGGTAACCATACCCAGAGGGAAACAAGCTGACAGGAAGAACCAGACACAGCCACATAGCACAGCTGCAGCATAGGAGCATGTGGGAAGACTCCCTGGGGATGCGGGAAGACTCCCTGGGGATGTGGAAAGACACCCTGGGGATGCGGAAAGACACCCTGGGGGGATGCGGGAAGACTCCCTCAGGGATGTGGGAGGACTCTCCCAGGGACTTGGGAAGACATCCTCAGGGATGCAGGGGAAGACCTTGGACCCTATAACTTCTGTGGGCCTTTCAGTTTCAAGTGCCACAATTCTCAAAGTGTAAGGCATGGCCCAGGGTGGCTGTCTACCTCTGAAAAATCTCCAAGAACTACTCACCTGCTGCACTTCATGTTTCTCAAACTCTTGCAGCTGTCTTTGAAAGCCCAGGTTGGGGTTAGCACAAGACCTCCCTGCTCGAACAGTGTGCAAGGCATCTTCCCAACCAAAGTCGGTGACAGTCATGATGTATGCAATCACCAGTGTCACACTCCTGGAGACCCCAGCCAGGCTGCGGAACCAAGACAGCTTACATGTTGCAATAACAGTTTGAGAACAGATCCACCACTCCACCCATCCAAAGGACCTCATTATAGAAAGTCTGTCTACCTTGAGGCTTTCATGGAAGCAGGCAAGAGCTTACCAGAGAATTACTCAGGAATATACCAAGAACTTTGCTCTACTCCAGCTCTGCTGGAGCTTAACCATCTTATAGGCATTTCAGCCTAAATGTCCATATCGTTTCTATAGGATAACAGCCTGAATAGTCTCTATTTCCTTGGGCAATAATGTAATTGCAACACAGTGAGGTGCTTATGCCTTCCAACCCTTTGCAATAATTCCACTCAAATCCTAAAGGCTTCATGCCTTTCTTAGCTACCATATATAAAGGACAAGTCAATGACTTTTAAAGGTCACGAAAGGGCTGGGAATACAGCTCAATGGTAGATCACTTGCCTAGCATGCTCAAGGTCTGACTACCCATCTTCAACACAGAAAAAAAGCTCATGGACTAGAGAAGCCGTTTCCAAACCTTAGCTTCTGGATTTGTTTTGATCTAACCAAGCAGAGCACCATGGTGGGCCGACTGAACACTCCATGCTCTAAAGCAGTCATCAGGGTGCTTGCAAGCAACAGTGGTTGGTTCGTTGATTGGTTCACACCATCAAGGGGTTAATTTTAAATGCATATGCAAGTTAAGACACAGAAGGCTGTGCTTCTGCAGAGTGCTCTATCAATCACGGAACATAGGGAAGCTTAGAGAGTGTTCTTGTTTTCTGAAAAATTTCCGAATACATAAATACATTTAACAAGAATTCTTAGACTACAACCCTAAAACATTCTAATGACAACAATCATAAACCCCCTCTTAAGCACTAGCTCATCACCAGAGCTTTTTATTAGGAACTGCTCTTAGGCTACAATTTTGATATGAATCCACCAGAAGCCTGGAGAGAGTCCAGGATTGGAGTTTTAGAATCTCTATTAACTGCTCCCAATTGCACTCCCTAGGTATTTGAATCTAAATGCAATGGAAGGTTGAAACTATAATCACTTATATTGATTATATTACCTGCTTTTGAAGCAGTATAGCAAAAATATTGTACATTATATAATATATAAACATAAATCTGTATAAATATGCAAAACACCATTCTTAAAGCTATTGAACTATCTCATGTCCTCTTCTGCTTTTGTGGACTACTGGCTCACAGCTTTTGGATGTGGCTTCTCTATCTATTCTATCCTGGCAGGACTACCATGAGCATAGACACCAAGGGTTACCACTTCACATTCTCTTGTGCTGTGGGGTGGGGCAGGGGGAGGGTTGCTGCTGCTTTCACTCAGTCACAAGACTTATACTTTCAGTAAATTAATATCCTACATCATTCAAGACAGAGAGGATATGATCAATCTCCACTTTAACTAAGACAGAGCCATGGCTCCAGAATGGTGCAAGCTATTATTATCATCACCAATGATAATACTCACTTAGAACTCACCAGGTGAAAATTAAAGCACAAACACCACCCCTACTAAGTATGCTGGCTTGCCTTTCTTGTCAGTGTGTGTGTGTTTATGTACAGGCACAGGTGACCTTTCTGACCATGGGTCACTGGTCTCAGGACTTGTTGTGGTTACCAGAATCCATGGTGTTCAAGGTCTCATAAAGGCACAGTACTTGGTGCCATCTGTGTATACTCTCCCAAACATTTTCATGCATCTCATGTATCTCTAGGTGACACTGCAGCACATGATGATGCAAGTGCCAGCTCAACATCTGTTGCTGTCATCCTATATTGTTTAGGAAGTAAGGACAAGAAAAACGTGTACATGATGGATATTTTTGATTTATGGTTGAAATCATGGATTTGCAATCAATGGATACGGAGTGTTGACTTTCCATTTATAATACAAAGTACAGCAGACTAAAGGTGGGTGGGTGTCTGTCGATAAAATATTTAATTCTAAGTCTGCTTGGATCACTTTAAAGTACTAGAGGCAAACACACACAACAAAAGCCCCAACCTAAAATTGGAAAGGAATTTTTTGTTGTTGTTGTTGTTGTTACAGAAATGTATCTCTACACAGCTACAGTTGCTACCAGAGTAGGGAGGAGAAGGCAGGGCTTTGGAATGGCCACCATGGGGCCTGGTGTGAGCCCAACAGGACCAACTGACATATAAGATGATGTTCTAATAAAATATCAAGCTAGGAATGACAGTGTTTTGTGCTTATAATCCTTGACAACAATGTCTAGAAATTCTAGCAGTGACAGAAGCAAAAACAAAAGCAAAACCAATTTTCTTACATCAAGAGGAAACAAGGACTACTGCAGAACAGTATGCATGTGAGATTCAGAATCTACAGAGTGCTGTAGATTCCGACTAACCACATAGACAGAGTGTGCTAGCTTGAATGAGAAAGGCCCTCACTGGTTCATATACTTAAATTATTGGTTCCCGTTAGTGGAATAGTTTGAGAAGGATTAGGAAGTGTGGCCTTACTGGAGGTGTCACTGGGGAGGACAGTGACGTTGGGCTCTCAAGTTTCAAAAGCCCAGGCCATTCCAGTTAGCTCTCTGGCTCATGCTTGTAGATCAAGACCTGTCTCCATCTACTGTTCCAGCAGCAGCTTCCCTGCCTGACTGCTGCCATCCTCACCACGATGGTTATAACTCTAACTTTCTGGGACCATGAGCTCCCAGTTAAATGCTTTATTTTATAAGGTCATGTAAATTACTTCAGCATTAGAAAAACAGCTACGATAAAAAAGACACCAATTAGAAATCACACCATGACAACATTATCAATAGTCATACTTACCAGTGCACAAGACAGCCCTCACCCTGGAGTCGGCACTCATGAATGAATTTAATACTTTCTTTAAAATGTCTTGTCCTATACAAAACAAACAAACAAACAAACAAACAAACAAAAAACAAAACAAAAGTGACATTTACTATTTAACATCTGATGAAAAGAAACATCTTCTGGGATTTCCTAAGATGTCCTACAGCAGTGGTTCTCAACCTTCCTAATGCAGACTCTTGTAACTGAGTTCCTTATGTTGTGGCGACCCCCAATCAGAAACTTGTTTTCATTGTTACTTCATAACTACAATTTTGCTACCTTTGTTAAGAATTGTTATATAAATATCTGTGTTTTCTGATAGTCTTAGGTGACCCTTATAAGGGTCCTTTGACCCCAAAGGTGTCATGACCCACAGATTGAGAGTCACTGTCTTAGTCTGCCCCATCTAGAGCCAGACCATACTGGGACCAGAGCTGCTTCAGCCTTAGTTGGTCACAGGCGCAACGAGGCGTAGAAGGCCCCCAATCATCAGAATTTTCCAGAATTTATCTTCAATTCAAACCATGTGACTGACACATGGTTGCTTAACCTCTTATGTTCATTCTGCCCCTACATTGGCTATGAACATTGTGCAGCCTCAGAGTTTGGATGAGGAAGGTATCCTTGTTATGTGGAATTCCAAAGTCTTAGAAGCTGGCTTATTTCTGACACCCTGGAGAACTTTGAGGTGCTGGCTGTAATGATATCCCTAGAGACTTCCCTGGTTGCTCTCATCACTGGAGCTGTGGGGAAAGCAAAGTTTAATTTCAATTCATTCTGCCACTCTCTGTGGCCTTACAAGCATGACTCAGAAAGCAAGGATGATGGCTCACAGAGGAGACATGGGTAGAGTATCAGTAAGCTTTGCGAACTCTGCAGTTTGCAATGATGGTGACTGTCACCGTTCTTTCTTCTGACCCTTATCCTTTTGGGTCACTTCTTTTCTGGGTAATTGTTCAGCACACAACTACTCAGGAGATCTGTGGTCAAGTTTCCTGGCAGTGTATGCCTTGCACATATGGACGGAATCTACTCTGGAGCATAGGTCAAGTAAAGGTTTCTAGGGGTAGTCCCAGACATTTTACCGGGTGTATTAAACCTTTAGGTGTCTTCTAAAGCACAGAAACACCAAAGCTGCTTACACTCTATAAACACTGAGTACTGGCCATTTACCAGGCTTTATGACAGGCTGAGAGACAACTGGTGAGAAATAATTCTCCCTATAGAATTGCAGGACAAGTTAAATCCAGCTACTGCTACGAAAAACAAAGTGGTGTTATGCTGGCAAGAGGTAGTATGGTATTTTGAATAGAAATGGCCTCTGTAGATTCATGTGTTGAATGCTTGACCCTTAGGGAGTGGCACTATTAGGTGTGCCTTTGTTGGAGGAAGTATATCACTGTAAAACTGAGCCTTGAGGGCTCTTCTATACTCAAGCCACACTCAGTGTAAGAGATTATTTCCTGTTGCCTACAGATCAAGATATGGAACTTTCAGCTCCTTCTCCAGCACCAAGTCTGCCTGCACACTGCCATGCTTCTCCCGATAATGATAATGGACCAAACCTCTGAAACTGTAAGCCAGACACAATTAGATGTTTTCCTTTATAGGAGTTATTGTGGTCATAGTGTCTCTTCATAGCAATAGAAACCCAAACTAAGACAGATGTTAGTACCAGGGACTGAGGTGTTGCTGTGATAAGCCAGGGTGTGTTTTTGTTTGGAGAAATGTGGACTTTGGGAGTTTGGATTAGAAGAACAGTTAAATACATTAAGTGGGGCTTAATGGGCCATATTAGAAATGGCATGGAAGACAGTGGGCTGATGGTGATTTGAATTTGTGGGGGCCTGGTTCAAGAGGTTTGAGAGGAATAGAATTTTAGTATGTGGTCTAGAGACTTGTTCTTGTGATATTTTTGGCTAAGGATATGGCTGATTTTTGCCTTTGTCTGAAAAGTCTGCTTGAGGCTAAGTGAAGAGTTTTGGATTGATTCCAATAGCAGATGAAATCTTAAAACAGCCAAGTATTACCTCCCTTGTACAGTTATTCGGATTCACTCTTACGAAGATCTATAATGAAAAGGGAGCAAGATGAGAAAGGAAAAGCACAAAATGTACAATTTGAGGAAAAGGGGGCACCAGAAAGTGCAATGGAGATAAACCCTATATAGATAGATTAAAGAAATGCCTGATGTTAAATGGAATAAGGGGAGTGATGACCTCAGGACAAAATCCCACCCAGCTAAGATTTCAACTTGTGAAAAGGAATTAAAGAACAGCTTAGGTTCAGGCATAGTGATGCGTCTTTAACTCCAGTACTCAGCAGATGGGGGCATTCAGATCTGAAGTTTAAGGCCAGTCTGGACTACAGAGCAAGTTCCATACAGAGCACGTTCCAAAACAGCCAATCTTAGACAGTGAAGGAAACCATCAAAAATAGAAATCCGATGAAGATGTAATTGAACAAGGAGACCATGTTACAGCCCCAGGAAGCAGCAGCACTTGGCAGCTTTGGCTCTGTGGTTCTGGCTTTAGAGTCAAGAACAGGAAAAAGGGGTTATGGAATCTCCCTCCCAAACTAAGGCAAGCCTCTGAGGCCAGGCATGTGGCAGGAGTGTCTCCATACGGAGGCCCAGAGAGGCCACTATATAAAGCTGTGAAGGTGAAGCTTGGATTACCTTGGAGACCCCAAAATGCTGGATATGCCAGAGTCATGGGATCCTGATTCTAACAGGGAGTGGAATGAGCCCAAAATAAAGAAGTGCATTGCAGTCAACAAAGGTGAAAGGAGTTGGAGATATGAAGAGCTCTTTGACATTAGACATGGAGATGCAGAATTTGGAATTTGCCCAGCTGGTTTTATATCTTGCTTTGGTCCAATATTTCTACACTATCCTCTCCTTCCTCCACTTTGGAACAGTAATGTATATCTTGTACCATTTATATGTTGGAAATATGTGATTTTTTAAATTTTGATTTTACAGGGGATTATATTTTAGACACTGCATGAGTGTCAGAAGAGACTTTGAACTTTAAACAAGTTTGAGACTGTTACAAACAATGGTGATTTTTGAAGCTGTACTAAATGCATTTTGCATTATGTTCTCACTACAAGTCTATGGGTGTCAGGGAGTGGAATGTGGTGTTTTGTAGTATGGTCCCCATAGACTCATGTGTTTGAATGCATGACCAATAGGGAATGGCACTATTAGGAGGTGTACCCTTGTTGGAGTAGTATGGCCTTGTTGGAGGAAGTATGTCAGTGTGGAGGCAGGCTTTGAGGATTCATATATGCTCAAACCATGCCCACTGTGAGAGTTCACTTTCTGTTGGCTGCAGATCCCCAGTTCCAAGTCTGCCTACATGCCCCCACGCTTCATACCATGATGATAATGAACTAAACCTTTAAAACTATAAGCCATCCCCAATTAAATGCTTTCTTTTATAAGAGTTGCTGTGGTCATGGTGTCTCTTCACAGCAACAGAAATCATAACTAAGACAGGCAGGAAACATTTTTATTGAGATGAATATATATACAACATGCACACCATGCCTGTCAACAACTAGAAGAGTCACTGCAAGTGGAAATTCCAAGTATACCAACCTAAAGACACCAAACTTGTATAGAAGTCTCTGGCACAGCACTGCATAGCACAGCAGACCAGTTTCTGATAATTTTCCAGAGAAAAGACTCCTAGACGTAAACATAGTGCTCAGAGAACTGCAGCTTTGTTCCCAAATGGTCAAAAGCAGGCACAAATATATCCTTGCTAAAACCATACACCTGGCAACACTAGTACTCAGAAGTCCAGTGAATGATTAGGTGAGAAGGGTAGGTGCAGGAGCAACCTAACAGCTGGTGGAGAGAATGTCTTCAGTACATGTGTTGCAGGGCTGTAGCAGGAGAGCAGAGCCTCCAAGCTACAAAGCAAACTAGGGACCTGGAGTTGACCAGGATATCCCGGACACAGCTCTGACACCACAGCGAAGCAGGCTAGGTACACTGATTCAGATTGGGGCAGCAGAGTTCTCAGGTTCTGAGAATCTTCTGTTTCTGCCAGCTGTGGCCACAGAGAAAGAAAAAGAAGGCTGTGGAAGAGAATTTCTGCAAAGGTCTCTCTTTCTGAGGAAAGAAATGTGCTATGTCTAGCCCCTAACCAGAGAGCTATGAAAGTCATGTTAAGAGCTGTAGTAGAAGCACAGAATTCCAGGGTAAGGTGCAGAATGGGAAGCCAGGCTCTCACAGACACCAGAGGTTTTCTGGCAGCCCTGGGAGTCCACACTCGGGCTTCTCTACATTCACACTCACTGAGACACCACCAGAGACAGTCTACTTACAGCCAAATGCACGCTCTCATACCAGAAATTAACTCAGGAAGCCCAAGACACCTCACCTAGGCAAGAAGTGTCCCATGATGGCTAGTTTTATGTCAACTTGACACAGCTTGAGTTATTTTTGGAAAAGGGAACTCAAATTGAGAAAATGTCTTCACCTGATTGGCCTGTGGGCAAACCTGTAGTGCATTTTCTTGACTAATGTTTGATGTGGGAAGACCCAGCTCACTGGGCAGTGCCACCCCTGGGCAGGTGTTCTTGTGCGTTATACAAAAGCAGGCTGAGCAAGCCGTGAGGAGCAAGCCAGTAAGCTGTTCCTCCATGACCTCTGCATTGGTTCCTGCCCTTACTTCCTAGGATGATGTGCACGCTGTAAGATGGCATAAACCCTTTCCTTCCCAAGTTGCTTTTGGTCATGGTGTTTCATCGCAGCAATAAAATGCTAACCAAGGCACAGACACAAGATACTAGGCTTCAATCTGCCTCATGGCTTATACAGAGATGCCCATCCTCCTTGAAGTAGACAGGGCCTGGACTCTAGCCCTCAGACATGTCAGGCTCTCCAGACTCTAAAGTCCCTTCAGAACAGCTGAACATCAGGGGATGGCCAGATGGCATATTCTTTTGTTCCTTAGGCTGTTCACAGGATAGTTGTCAAGAGTGTGCAGGGGTCCATCTCCCAGCTCCAGGTCCTACCTTTTGGTGGGTTCCTT